CTCTAACTTATCCTATTTACCCCAACAACCCTCTGTCTCACATCCTTATCCACCGTTTCTCTATTATGCCCCTTTCACCCCGCTCCCCCCCCCTTTTTTTATTCCTCTCCCACCAATGCTCTTCGTCCATCCATTTCAATTAGACTGTCCAGCACGACAGCTCTATGGTTACATTTGGTATTCTAAAAAGAACTCCCTCGTTCAATAGCTCTCCGCACATTATTTATTAGTGGCGTCGGTGGCCTAGTGTTTAAACTCTCAAACTTACCACCGTAAGGTGGTGGGTTCGAATTTCAGCAGGGGCCCGACGTTGTGTCCTTTGGAAAGGCTCTTTCCCTCTAATTTTCCTCACTTCAGATCTTCCTCACTTCACTGTGATGGTAATGGTTCCCTGGTTTTAGACAGCACAAGACCTTGCCAGTTTGTCAGCTGGTCATTTGTACTCCCCCATCAACACGATTAAGATCACTTTGGAGGAACTTTTCTGACGGGGCTATGAGGGAGAATTTATTATACCATACTTATATCAACTAGCAAAATACATCTGTAGGCCTACCAATAAAGTTCAAATGACTAGCCAGTTGGACAAGAGGATCCATTCTGGAGTCCCACTTGAAAACAATAGTTTCATACCCGTCGGAGTCAGATTGGGAATTGGGAAAAACCCGGATTATTTTCCTTTACTTTTAGCAACGCTAATTTAGAAGTTGTACTATCCGTATGTCTCCCTCCGCGAAACAAACCCCAAACAAAACAATCATAGCGTAAATAGAAGCAAAGTAATCAGAAAACGTAAGATTCAAAAGTTGAAAGAAATTAGACCTAAATTAATTTGGTACGTTGTCGTTAGAATAGAGATGACTTTGATTTTGATTGTATGCTAACCTTTCGTAACCGAAACAAACCAAAACAAACCAAAGGTAAGGAGTTATTCTCTAGATCTAGATCTAACGCATTGCATTACAATGGTCAAAGATTTTTTTTAAATGGCTTTTTAGCATCAAAAATTGTCGAGTTATTTGGAAACTGATGCGCTGATTCCAAATAGACTCTATGTAGTTAGTTTTTGCCTATCAGATCAGGTTTTTGCAGAATTCACGTACATCTATTCATTTCCGATATTCTTGATATCGTAAGAGGAGGTAAGAATATCGGAATAACAAAGAACGTAACTTATTATTTCAACAACAAAAAAGTAATGCACCAAGAGTGTTATACTCTTGTAATCATTTTGTCTAAAATCATATTTTTCCATTGCATATTGTTTTAAAGTTTGATCTTCTTTCATTGATATAGTTGATTGTTCAGTATATTATGTAGTGATAGAATTAATGTAAACTAAAATTCGAAAGGCAACGCAAGTTAGCTAAACACTTGGTTTTTTATTGTTTGATAAAGTGACTACAACATTTCCAAACAATGTAATAATTTGATGATAATTTTATGCATATTTACGCTGATATAGGCTTAGATCTAGATATAGATGTAAGTGGTTTCCGCTATTATTTAGTTGTGCTGTAGATCTATCACTTTGAGAAGTAAAATTTAGTGTCCACTGTCTTCTGTCCCCCCGCTGTGTTTATCTGGTGTGCTGCTACAATGTCTGGACGGAAAAGCAATTCCCAAACGTCAGTTGTGCTAATTTAGTTGAAAAGGGGCAGTTTAGCTGCACCTAACAAGTCACATTATTATGATGACCCATTAGATAGAACAAATTATTATTTTATTCTTGAAAAAGATGTTACGAAATTTACAGAA